GCCAAACTGGGGCGTCCCCACGTCCCTCCTCCGGTCCTCCCGCCACCACTCTCCTCTCCGTCGCCGCCGCCGCCGCCGCTAGGGCAAAGCCTGAGCGGATCGGCGGCGGCGGCCTACTTCTCGCGCGCCAGCTACTCAAGATCATTGTGGCGGTTCCGATCTTGATCTCGTCGGCGGTGATGGAGGACAACGACGGCCGGAGTGTGGCGGCAGATCAGTAGCCGCAACGGAGAGTGGCGGTAGTGGCCGTGTTGCAGCCGTTCAACCTCTGGTTCGGCTTCGGATGGCGGTGCTGCTCCTAGCCTTGAACTGCATCACGCAAGCGCCTGGGACGGTGACCCTGGACTTGGCGGTGGTGGTCATCTCCTCCGTCGGATGTGATCGTCCTGAGGATGGGTGGCCGGATCTCGAGATCCTTCATCTAGTCCCAGCTACGAGTCGGGGAGACATAGTTGCCGGTGAAAACCGAGCCGACCGCGCCGTTATGTGTTGTTACCTTGATGAAGACATCGTCATGTGACTACTGTCGACCGACTTGTGCTGCTCCAAGGGAAATACTAGGATCTGATCTTCCAGATCAGAAGATGACGGCACTGCCGTGTCGTTTCTCTCTTGGGAGCATCTTTTGTGGAGCACCGCTGGAAGACAGAGGCAAGAGATGGAGCGGCTTCGTCTTGCACGGAGTTTCGATGGAGATGTCAAGTCATGCCAGGTTGACAGGTGCTACGCCGTGTCATGCCTGTTCGGCAGGTGCTACGCACGACAAATCTTCCAGAGATTTCAAATTGTGTCGGCTGGTGATACTTGGCGGCATGGTGTTGCGGTCTACTGGCGATGACTGCGATGTGTTTAGCAGTTTGCGTGCAGGGAGGTGGTGCCGTCAACGGACGGCTGGACTAGTATGGATGATGCGGATCTCTTTCCCAAAGATGGGTCAGTGGTTCAATGATATGATGGCTTCTAAAATATGTGCATGTGGTGTATGCTTTAGGTTTGCTACACCGGTTGTAGGTTCCGATGCGTTATGCCGATGGATCGGCGACGACACTGGTTTTAAAGATAGGGAGTGAGTGCACTCCACATTATCGAGTTTGTAGGTGTGATTGATGGCGTCAGGTGGCTTGATGTATATTCTTATCAGATCTTCGTTGAATAATTAATAAAGATGGCTGTACGCATCGATTGATGCAAAGGCCGGGGATTTTAACCTCTTTTCTTTATATATAAAAAAAATCGACGTCACTGCCGGCTTAACTCAGAATTTGCAGCTACCTGTTGCATATCAAAGACAGATTCCAGCATTAAGTACGGTAAAAGAAAGCCAATTAAGAATGAGATGGGGAAATATCTCCTGTTACTAGGGAAAATGTCCAATTAAAACAAGCATTTCTTTCCCTGTTGCTTTCATTAAGGGACGCAGTTCTCTTGTTGCTTTTCATTAAAGCACCACTTGGTAAAAAACAATTTTGTGTATGCAATCAAGTTGTTATCAAATATCTTTTCAGACATCTGGAGATGCTCAGAGGCACAAGGTAGGTGGGCAACATTTGCAAAAGAAAATTATATTTTCATTCCATAGCAGAATCTTGCCACCATCTTAAATGATTTTGCACGCCCGGGGTATGGTTTGATGATGCACTCTTCTTGGTCTGAACTCTCCTTGATCAACGGTTCAAGAACAACACATTTGGAAATGCATATTACCTTATGAAGGTGGAAAGACATGTCCCCAACCTCCAAAGTAACATCACCGGATAGTTTTGTTTTGCATAACCTAGAAGGTTCAAAAGGAAATGTATTGAAAAACATCATATCTATTTTTTGGTTCCTCCAATATCTCAAATCTTAAAACCCTACATTCAAGAAATAGTGTGTCATTTGACACTCAATTTTAACTTTTACTTTCTGGAAGAATTCTGCAAACTCTTAAATAGTGCCATCCTTAATGTGGCCACACACTTTGTAACCAAGTTTTTTCATCACACTTTTCTGAAGGGTATCATGGAAAATGAACACATTAGCAAGTGATGATTTGATTGTTCTAGTTGAGTCATATCAAATAAGTGTTCTTGAATTATGAGCTTCTCTCATGTGTTACAAAAATTGATATTCACACAACAAATTAGTAATTTAAGGTTTTGTTACATAGCAAACCAATGAACGACCTGTGAATTTGTGTGGCCAAACTTTATTGATGTTGTTACTATAGTTATGTTTTATATAAGACTTAAAAAATGACCTTGATCAATCCAAGTTATTTTTTATAAATCAAGATCTGGCCTTAGAAAAAATATAGTTGCGCACATTTTAAGATGTTTTCTTTCCACAAGACAAGAGTCATAGTTACCACTTTTTCTCTACCACTTATATGCTCCTCCCCAACCATCCTTCGATTTAATTCACCACTATATTAGCTTGCCAACCAAAATATTGAAAACTACTGTAGCCAAATAACTACATTTCAAAGGAACATGATAACTTTTTGGTATAACTCTTGTATTATACTAATTAACATCTTGTTGTTAAGATTATTCGTGTGTGATAAATGAAGACAATAGGCACCGAATTCTATGGCTCGCCATGCAAAAGCATGTAATTTTTATTTTTTTCCTTTATTTTAATCATTCTTTTCCACCAATATCTTTTTTTATTTTCTCAATACAAAACTATTCTAAATGTAGATTACTTCAATATAACGTTTTGTTCTTTTCCTCCATGTTCCTCATCATTTGACCCGATAGAAACATTGGCATCAAACGGTACCAATTCTTTCTGGAACTTCAAAAATAATACTCAAATGCACGTTGAGTTAAGAACACTATTTTGAATGGATTACACCTAGTATATTTTTTAATTATATCTATTAACCTAGTATATTGTTGAGAAAATTCCTTATATAACACTACTTTAAATTTTGTTTCCCTATTTGACACTGAAAAACTTTTTCTTCCTTATTTAACACTCTATCTAAATTTTATGCCTTTTATGACATTTTCGTCCATTTTAAGACTTAGCGGTGTTAAATGACGTATGAAATGACCTATTTGCCCCCCATGGGTATGTGACCAAATTTTCAAGTAAAATGCATGAGTGGTCTCTAACGTTGTTGACACTGTTCTGTCCTCAAACTAATGAACTGTCTCAATACGATCCCGAAACATGCAAATACCGTGTCAATAAGGTCCTCAAACTTGATGTGTAGGTTCTGCAATACACGTCGCTAACGCCACAGCCGCCACATCAGCTCTGGGCTTATTTGTCATGGGCCAAAAAATAGATAAAATTTCCATCAATCATGGCGCTCGTGTGGCGCGCGCGAGGGCTGAAACAGAGCAACGGTGATCAGACCACCATGTTCACGTATGCAAGTTTGTTGGCAGTGCACAGCTAGAGCTAGCCCATGCCATGTTCACGTACGCAGGTCTACGGCAAAATGTGTATGTACTACTCCCCCTGTCCTAAAATATAAAAACGTTTTTAACATTACACTAGTGTCAGAAATGTTTTTATATTATGAAACGGAGGGAGTACTAGTTATGTATAATCGATCAAGCTCCTTCTTGAGCTAGCTTTGCGTGTACATATATTTATTTAGTGCTCATGGGCAATTGATCCCCAACAGTGATAAAGGCATGAGGGACGTCCGTACATGCACTCGCGACTCGCAAGGCATACGCAGAGGCGCGGACATGCCGGTGAAAGACTGAAAGTGAAGATATAGCACGTGTCCAACATGCCGGCGACGGTCTATGAACATAATTGGTTTGATGCCAAGAATTGGCATGCCAAATTTTGGCAACTACCAAATGTTGCCTAAAGATTGGTTGCTTGCCAATTTGTTTTGCAATCTTACAAAATGTTGTCAAATGTTGACAACTTTTGATTTTGTCAAATAGTGGCTTGCCAAATGTTGTTAGCAAACCAATTATGCTCTAAAGCTACAAATTTCTGTCTGGTGGGAGCTCTAAACAAATAAATCTGTGTCTCTATTTAGACATGGACACCACAAGTAATGGGTGGGCTGGTTCATAGGTGCATCAAGACCAACATATGTCGATCGATTTTGCTTGGGAATTGGCTCACACACCTAGCAAAAACGAGTCACCGGATAGACACATACACATAATTTTTTGGTCACATGTCACATAAAGGGCAAATAGGTCTTTTCAGCTGTCATTTGACACCGTTCAACTAATTAATTCAGGATTTGACATGGTTTCGAGGTTGGATAAGATCACTAGCGCACTGTTCCGTCCGAATATTCAGTAGTAATAGAAAATTAGTCGTAACGTGGATGTGTTGACTTGGAGCTTGGCTCTTGCGTGTGCTCTGCTCCACCAGAACGATCCTGGCCGTCCAATAGGTCAGTATGTAAAAAGATTGGCCACGCCAGGCGAAGCTAGTATCAGTATCTGCGTTTGATCCCGTGGGATAGTGCTGTGACGTTTGCAGTGAGCTCTGAGATTTCGTGTGGCATGATCCGGTCCAAATTCTGTATGGCACGCTTCATGCACGCAGTGAGACGCTTCCCTCCAACTCACCAAGAATACTACTAGCTCGGTTATAATTAGATTAGAATCCTTCACTTTTGTGACACGTAGGTGGGCTGTATTCTCACTTTGGGGTTAACTGTTCGCGGCCGGCGAACAAAACTGTTGGGAACGATGTGAGCTACTAGTACAAACACTAAAGCAAGAGACTGAACCGGCAACAAGTTGAGCTACAGAGTATGGTAAAGCACATGCTTGGAATTTCGGAGGTTTCAGATTGACATGAGGTGCAACATCAGTGATTGGTATCATATCATCCATGCACGGGGAGCAACCGCCGTTGGCTTGGTCCATTGCCAAGAAGTGCTCAAGAATCATGTGCATGGACTTGAAATTGTAGAATGTTTTCCATGGTAGTATAAGAGTAATTTGGCAGCAGCTGATCTTCTTAAACCGGCCTGGTCAAGTTGCATGCCAACGCGTTTCTCTAAGTTGGAAATGCAAGAGGAGCTAGCTAAGCACGCCAAGCGGAAATTTCATAGGTACCAAACCCTTTTGAACTGGCAATAGTCTATCGATCTCCTCAAGTAAGTTCTTCTCTTCTACATCAGAAAGAGTACCAGCCAGGGGCACTGTTCCCATGTTGCTGTGCCTACTGAGTCCTAGGATATACTTCTGCGCATAGTATGCCAAAGAACCGCTGATGATCGCAGGCCTTATGCATCGAGACTCCATACCAAATAGCAATCTCTTGTACATGGGAAAACTCGGTGATGCACTAAAGTTACGATACTAAGCTTGAAATGTATTGAAGAACATCATATCTAATTTTTGGTATACCTCCAATATCTCAAATCCTAAGACCCTACAATCAAGAAATAGTGAGTCTTTTGGCACTCTATCATAACTTTTTTAACTTCTCTAAGAACTCCACAGACTCTTAAATAGTGCCATCCTTAATGTGGTCACACACTTTGTAAGAAAGATTTTTCATCACACATTTCTGAAGAGTACCATGGAAAATGGACACATTAGCAAGTGATGATTTGATTGTTCTAGTTGATTCATGCCAAAAAAGTGATATTGAATTATCAGCTTAATTCACTCGTGTGTTACAAAATTGGTTTTCATGTCATGCACTAATTAGTAATTTAAGATTTTGTTAGGTAGCAAAGTAGTGAAGGACCCGCGAATTTGTGCAGCTAGGCTTTTTGAAGTTCTTACAACTATAGTATTATACAAATTATACAAATTATACACATCTTATGGAATCACAGAGGTAAAACTGTAGTGGATAAAATGATCTTGATCAATCTAAGTTATTTTTTATACATCAATATCTTGCCTTAGAAAAAAAAATATAGCTGCACACATTTTAAGATGTTATCTATTCCCAAACGACTAGAGTCATAGTTACCACTTTTAACTTATATGCTCCTCCCCTAGTCATTCTATTAATTCACCACTGTATTAGCTTCACAACCAAAATATAGAAAATCATTGTAGCCAAATAACTACATTGAAAGGGACATGGTAATTTTTTGGTATAACTCTCGTACTACAACTATTATTGTTGTTAAGATTCTTCATGCATGATAAATGAAAACAATTCACACCGAAGTCTGTGGCTCACCATGCAAAAGCATATATTTTTGTATTTTTTTTCTTTAAATTACTCATTCCTTCCGACCAATATTTATTATAATTTTATCAATAAACTATTCTAAAAGTAGATTACTCCAATATAACACTTTGTTCTTTTCCTCCATGTGCTTCATCATTTGGCTTGACAGAAACAGTGGCATTCAATTGGTATCACCTTTGTTATTTTCGTCCATGTGCTGCATCATTTGTGACAATTCCACGACAGTTGGCACCCACCGTGGGGCTAGCGCACGGTGGATTTGAGTTCTTGAAGGGCAACTTCGAAGGGCTCAAGGGATACGTAGTGGGCCGGATGACCAAAAGTCGTCGCGGCAAGATGTACATCGACGACGAAGGCTGGGGCCCCGACGCCGGCTCAATTGAGTACGGGTACCGGGTCCCCTTTGGAGGTATCCACGTCTTCATCGGCCGGATTGGAAAGCCGAGGCCTGAGCCGGACAACTGCGTCGGCCTCGTCGAGACGGCTCAGCGTGCGAAACCCGCCCGAGTTCAACCCGGCATGAAGCGTGTTTTTGTGGGCTACGTCCACGGAGAAGAGCTTTCCGAAGGTCCTGAAGATGGAGGTGAGACGGCCGTCCCCTCTGACTGTGATTCGTCCACCGGTTCAACAGATTCTTTGTATCAAGTTCAAGATGGTGCGCTCGGGGGCTGTTCCAATGGCCTTAGTATTCCGGACCTCTGTGAGTCGCCAAATTGGACAGGAGTCTTTATGGTTGGGACTCAACCCGGACAAAACTCTACAGCCGCGGCCGCAATCACTTCTGGGTTAGGAGCAGCCGGGGCAGGAGGCCCTGTGCGCCCGCCGGCTCAAGTGCTGATAGACCTCATGGATAAGCTTATGACCCTGTTAACCGCCACGGTTATCCCTGAAAACAAAGATGAGCATGACGCGGAGGTAGCACAAGTATGTGAGGAGATAGCTTAGGCCAAGGAGGCCTTAGTAGCTGAGGATACTAGGCTAGCTACGGAGCGGGTGGCCCTCGACGCCCGGGCACAGCGGTTGCAGTCAGAGGCTTATCAGCTCACAATGAGTTTAAACGCATCCAATGAAGTAATGAGGAGGAGACACCAGAAGACCCAATCCCGGTTACCTCCGAATTACGATCCTAGGGTTCTTTTTGCCACACCCGGGGCCGGCCCAAGTAACCCGCCCAATGCTAATCAGTTTATGACACCCGGAGCGGGAGGACCGGCTCAGCGTCAGGAGATGCCACCTCCTCATATGAGCATGGCACCGCCGTGTTATGTACCAATACCGGAGGGTCACTTTTCCAACCCCATGGAGAATTTAATCGCAGCATCAGTGTGTTTGGCGGCTCTTCCAGTGGACGGTGATGATCCAACAGCAGTGGAGACTCGGAGGATCATGGAACTTGTCCAGACGGCCCTGGCTCAGCAGGAGACCTATTCTTACAGCCGGGATAGGATTCATTCAACCCCTCCGTCTTGGTTAGCGCCGCCTCGTAAGAACCGGAGCCCGAGTTACAGCAGGCACATGGAGTCCGAAGCTTTATCAAGCAACGCCCAACGCCGTAACCAACATGGGGGCTATAACCCGGTGCAAGACCGAATACGTGAAGAGAACGAGCGGGCGGCTCAACAGGCGGCTCAGCTGGCGGCTCATCAGGACATCCCGGAGTACCCAACGACTTCTATTGAGTTGGGAGTAGCCACCAGAACCGGTGGAGTTCCTTGTTTGATACCGGCTTTGCGCAACGTGTGCCTGCCTAAGGACTTCAAGGGACCTCGAAAGGTGCCGAATTACACGGCCGACTTACAACCCGGAGCATGGATTGAGAGCTATGAGATGGCCATGGAGCTGTTGGAGGTTAGTGACGCGGCAATGGCTAAATACTTCACCATGATGTTAGATGGAACGGCCCGGTCCTGGCTAAAAGGTTTACCACCCAATTCCATTGGTTCGTGGGAGGAGTTAAAGGCCCGGTTCATCCAGAACTTCACGGACACCTATAAGCAATCCATGTCAATCGTGGACTTGACGAGTTGTAAGCAGGGGGAGGGTGAATCCACCACCCATTGGGTACGCCGAGTCAAGGAAAGTTAATTCATTCATCTGATAAGATGGATGCCGACTCTGCAGTCCTCATGTTGGAGAAAAATTGCAACTTTGAGCCGCTGAGGCAGAAATTGGGACGCCTTAAGCGTGACTGCACCGATATGGGAACGCTGATGGCGGATTTAGTCAAATATGCCGATTCTGATAATACCAAGGACCCTGCATCTGACGATGAGAAGACATGGAGGGGTAAAAGGAACGGTAATGGAAAAGGTCAACAGCACAACCCGGGGAATCAAGGCGGCAATAAGCGTAAGGCGGACGGTAGTCCGGAGCTTGTGGCTAACGCGAGTACACTGGGTAACAATCAGAGACGCAAGGGTAAGTGGCCTCGAACCGGCGGGTCAGGTCCATCTCTTGAGCAGCTACTCAACGAGCCCTGTCCGAAACACGGCACCCGGGAGCACCCCGCTATGCACCTATGGAAAGATTGTGCGATCATGAAGGCGTTTAAAAATTCTGATATCTTTGATGGTGGTCATGGACCTGGTGGCGGTTCAGGGGCCGGCGACTTTCATGGCCCGGGTGGCGGTTCAAATTCCGGTTTTCAGGGACAACCTGGTGGAAATAATCAACAGCAAGCTGGTCAGGGAGGACAACCGCAACAACAGTCGGGTTACCAGAGCCAACCGAAACAGTTGAGCGGTGGGCTGTAAATTCGGTTGAGCCGGCGGTCCCTCGTTATTTGAGATGGTCAGAGCAACCTATCATTTGGAGCAGAGAGGATCACCCGCTACGAGTTGATAATCCGGGTCAGTTAGCCTTGGTTGTAGCACCGCAGGTTGGTGGATATAAATTCACTAAAATACTCATGGACGGAGGTAGCAGCATCAATATCCTCTATTATGATACCTTCCAGCGTATGGGGTTAATAGAGAAGAATCTGAGGACGTCCAACACTGTTTTCCATGGGGTGGTTCCAGGCAAGTCAGCTTACCCAGTTGGTAAGATTGAATTAGAGGTGGCTTTTGGAGATGAGTATGATTCCAGGGCTGAGAAGTTGACGTTTGAGGTGGTTAAGATCAGGAGTCCATATCACGCTCTATTTGGGCGGCCGGCTTATGCTAAGTTCATGGCACGGCCGTGTTACGTTTACTTACAACTCAAGATGCCGGGTTACAAGGGCACCATCACTGTGCATGGGAGTCGAAAGGTGGCCTTGGAATGTGAAGAAGGCGATGCGGCTTACGCTGAGACGGCCTGTGCCGCGGAGGAGCTCAAATTCTATCAAGACAATGTTGACCTGACGGATATGACCTCCCTCAAGAAACCAACTACAGAGCACGATCTGGCATTGAAGTTTAAATCGGCCGCTGAGACAAAGCTTGTTGACTTCACCCCGGGAGACACTTCTAAGCAGTTCAGTATCAGTGCCAATTTGGATCCTAAATAGGAAAGCACGCTCATCGAGTTCATCCGTGAGAACCGGGACATCTTTGCATGGAAACCTTCTGACATGCCGGGTGTACCGAGGGAACTCGCTGAGCACACTCTCAATGTTGATCCAAAGTATAAGCCGGTCAGGCAGTTTCTCCGACGATTCAACGAAGAGAGACGAGCAGCTATTGGGGAAGAGGTGGCCCGGCTCTTAGCGGCCGGGTTTATTGTTGAAGTTTTTCATCCGGAGTGGTTGGCTAACCCGGTGTTGGTGCTCAAGAAGAACGGCACTTGGCGGATGTGTGTGGATTATACGGATTTAAACAAGGCTTGTCTGGCTGATCCCTTTGCTCTCCCCCGTATTGATCAAATCATTGATGCTACAGCGGGTTGTGAACATTTGAGTTTTTTGGATGCTTACTCTGGTTATCATCAGATCAAGATGGCAGTCAAGGACCAGGAGAAGATAGCTTTTATCACTCTGTTTGGGGCCTTCTGTTATGTATCTATGCCATTTGGGCTCAAGAGTGCCCAGGCAACTTATCAGCAATGTGTGCAGAACTGTTTGCACGATCAGATTGGGCGCAATGTTCATGCTTATGTGGATGACATCGTGGTGAAATCCAGAGAAAAGGAAACT